GTGCTGTCACAGTATGGGGAGAGCAATTAGAGTCACATAACTATGTATGTATAAATTTTTGTATGGGGGAAAAAAAGAAGGAAAAACAAAGAAAAGGAACTCTGGTGGCGCAATGTTAAGCTCTTGGCTGCTAACCAATAGGTCAGCTGTTTGAACCCAACTGCTGCACAGGAGAAGATTACAGCCTTGGAAACCCTATGGGGCAGTTCTACTTTGTCTTTTAGAGTTGCTGTGAGTCAGAATTGATTCCACAGCAATGGGTTTAAATAGATCAGTGTCATAGTGTCCTTATATGGTCAAGGTGGAGGTTAAAAGTATAAATGAGTAATTTCTTTTATAAGGGTTAGCACAAAGCTGGTTTCTATGTCCAGCTTTTTCACATTGCTGTACCACTCCATCATCTCTAACATCAACTACTCCTCCCCTCAGTATTCTCCCTCCTGTCTTTGGGTTCCATAATTCACTACAACATCTCACAGAATTCACAAACCATACCAAGGAAATGGCTCATGTGATTTTGGAGGGTGGCAAGTCCCAAATCCATGGGTCAGGTGTAGGCTTCTCCTAACTCACATGGCCTTGGGGCTGGCGAACCCAAATCGGCAGGCCAGATGACAGGCTGGCTCACAAGGCTGTAGAAGCTGGTGAATCAGGTCAGATAATAGGCTGCTGGCCCACAGGGCTGCAGAAGCTGGCAAAGCTCAGATTCAGATTCATATGGCAGGCCACTGGCTCAAGTCCCAAGCACTGGAGGCCAGACAATGAGGAGCCATTCGCAGGATCCAGATGCAGAGAGAAAGTCCCAGCAGAGCACCCACATATATACCCTGGGTGCAGGCTACACTCCAGGGAAGGGCATGACTTGAGTAAGGGTGGGACTTGAGTCACACCCTCCTGCAAGGCTGTGACTCAAGATACACCCCACGCTAATCTTGCCTCATTAACATATAGAGGTTAGGGTTTACAACACATAAAATGGAGGATAATTGTATCAGATCACAAAGTGGAAGACAGCTGCACAATATTGGGAATCATGACCTAGCCAAGCTGACACATAACACCAACCGCTACACCATGTTAGGGTCCCATACACCTTATTTGCATGGTCCCACCCAACCATTGTATGGGAGTCACAAAGACTGTGGCTAGAAGGGCCATATTAAGTAATTCACTGCACTGCAGAGTATTAATAATTTTAGACTCTAATTCATTTTCAACAGCATGCTGTAATTTCTACGTTAAAAACGAACATATATCATTCAGCCTCCAAATTTGTTGTTGTTAGTTGCTGTAGAGCCGACTCCAATTCACGGCAACCCCATGTGTGCAGACTAGAACTGCTCCATAGGATTTTCAAGGCTGTGATTTTTGGGAAGTAGATTGCCAGGCCTGTCTTCTGAAGTGCCTCTGGGTGGGTTCAAACTACCAACCCTTCAGTTAGTAGTCAGGTGCTTAACTGTTTGTGCCACCCAGGGACTCCTGTTTGTGGAACAGGATTCACTATTCATCTAGTCAGTGAAGCTGATTATTTTGTTTTTTAAGTCCTTAGCACTTTGAATCAGCTTTATCATGTGATTACAGAGAGAGCTATAGTAAAATCCTTCCTAAGGTTAAGGAAATATTCAATTTGCTGCCTTGGAAAGCCACAAACTCCCCATAAATAAAGTGCCTATTCCTCCACTGCTCTACATCTGTTGAAAATCTCCACATAAATTTATTTCCCCCTTTTGGAGACATGAGAGTCCACCCTGAACTTCTCTTTCGACAGCATGTTCATTTATCATCTTTTAATAGAGAAAAATCTACCTTCTACCAATCCCATAAGGAGCCCTGGTGGCACAACGATTAAGCGCTCAGCTGCTAACTGAAAGGTTGGTGGTTTGAACCCACCCAGCTGCTCCATGGAAAAAACGACTTGGCAGTCTGCTCCCGTAAAGATTACAGCCTAGAATACTTGATGGGGCAGTTCTACTCTGTCACATGGGGTTGCTATGAGTCGACAGCACCCAACAACAACAGATCTCATAAT